ATCATTATACGATTTGCATAACTCCCATAATTCTCTGCTCTGGCCACCTTCACTCCCTAGTCCCATTTTCTAGAGGTTATCGTTCTCAGTTCTCACTTCAGCTCTTAGGCCTTTCTCTGTGTCGCTGGCTGTTCCTTGTGATTTTAGGTTTCGTGGGGACTTTGGCACAAAGTAAGAACAAACACTCAGGTCCCCTCTTGTCTTACCGTTTCTCCAGTCTCTTGAGGTATATATGCTGTATTTTGCAAAACCAGAGCAGACTCATTAGTCAGTGTCCATATCCTGTTATAACTATATTTACTATGAGCAGCCTTCTCTAGTCTGCCTGTTTCCCTGCTTGACTTTCTGTTTTCATTTCACATTTCTGTGAAGCTGTTGTTTCCCACTGGCATCCATGTTCTGTTTCTCAGGACTGACAACCCGACCACACACTTGCTCACTCCACTTTGCTCTTCCCTGGTGTCCCTCAGCCAGTCTGAAGACTGTTGAGTTGGCCAGCCGCAGAGCTATAATCCTGGGACTCCTCTCTCTCTGACACCAGATCCACTATTTCTGGAAATGCCTATGATACTCAAATTTGAGTCATAGTTTGACTGGCTGTAAATTCCAGTTTCACCCAGCAATGTGGAGACAGATAGCCTTTTCTAGCTCACATTGTTGACACGTCTCATTGTATTCTGCGATCCTGTATTCTGTATGTAACCCCCACCCCAAGCCCATCCCTGAACCCCAGCCACTGTTAACAGTCTCTCCTACCACCACCGTTTTAGAATTCCAGGATGATAAACCTTGGTGTTAATACCCACCTCCACCTCATTGGATGTTAAAAAGCACCATTTGGTGGGCCTTTTCATACACTAGAATTCTCTAATTAGGCTTTCATGATTTTGCCACTTTTTTCTATTTTAAGCTAATTATTGATACTTCTGATTTTCCTGTCTTCTCTGTTCTATTTTTTCATCTTATTGCTTTCCCTTTTTCTCCTCTGGTGAATTACTTACCAGCCTTGTTACTAAAATTTAAATTTTGGCTATCTCAGTTAAAAATTTTTTTCTTGAGAGAAGGTTTCACTATGTAGTTGAGGTCAGTGTCAAACTCTCTATGTAGCTCAGGCTGGCTTACAACTCACAATCTTCCTGCCTTTGCCTGAGTACTGGGGGTACAGGTCATGCTCACCACTAAGGATGCCCTAGCTTTAATACTTACAGGGTTTTTTTTTTTCAGCATTCTTTCTCTTATGTTCTTTTTGGGCTATTAGTCCTTCATCTGCCTTCCAGAAAAATGTTGTGGCCTGTTGCCTGGGGCTGAGTTCATGCCCCCTCCTCCTCCTCCTCCTCCTTCTCTTCCTTTGTTTTTCTTGACAGGTCTTCTCTGTGTAGTCCCAGCTGTCCTGAAACTCACAGAGATGCACCTGCCTCTGCCTCCGTGTTCAGGGATTAAAGGCAAAGCTTCACAGGAGGCAGCTCCTGCAACTTTAAAAAAAAAAAGATTTATTTATTATGCATACAGTACTCTGCCTGCATGTATGTCTATAGGACAGAAGAGGGCACCAGATCTCATTACAGATGGTTGTGAGCCACCATGTGGTTGCTGGGAATTGAACTCAGGACCTTTGGAAGAGCACTCTGTGCTCTTAACCTCTGAGCCATCTTTCCAGCCCTGCTCCTACAACTTTTAAGTGTAGCAGCTGTGCCCAGCTGGACGCAGACTGAGGGGGAGGGGTTGGAAGTGTCTCTGGATGGCCCCGCAGCTCTGTGGGGTAATTACTAGAGGTATTTTCCAGAAGCTTCTCGGGGTAGCCCACATTTAGAACACATAAAATGCCGTCTCCGAGCCCCACGGCATTCTCCTCCCTACTCTTACTCTCCTTTGGATGTGTTGTGTCATCACGGTTAGCGAGGGTTGCAGACCTGAGCTCTGTATGAGGAAGCGGTTGAGATAACTAGTGAATGTCAAGAAACACTCTTGGTGTTTCTCCTTTTGTAATAAAATCTTTTAAATATGGATTGGACTCCATATACAAATGTGGAGAGAGACACACACACACACAGAGACAGAGAGAGACACACACAGAGAGACACTCAATTCTCAAGAGCTTTTCTGCTTCTGTGTTCTCAGTTTTTCACAAAAAAATGAAAGCTTTAGGTGTTGTATAAAAAACACACAGAAGCACAGCTTCATTTTCTAGACCTTTGTACATACTTAGTTTTCAAGCCTTTATTTCTTGGCAGTAAAATGGGAGGTGGGGGATGCAGTTAGATATGTAAGAATGAGCACAAGAAGTTTCTCCTCCTCCTCCTCCTCCTCCTCCTCCTCCTCCTCCTCCTCCTCCTCCTCCTCTCCCTTTGTTTTTCTTGACAGGTCTTCTCTGTGCAGTCCTGGCTGTCCTGAAACTCACAGAGATCCACCTGCCTCTGTCTCTGTGTGCTGGGATTAAAGGCATGAGCCACCACCGCCCGGCTAGTAACTGTATTCTTATAAGACACTATTTGATAGAATGAAAAATATCGTTTGAAGACTGGGAGAATGTATCGTTATTATTCTGATACTTTAGATAATATATAAATCATACTATAGCTTGTATACATATGTAGCATCCTTTAGTATGTGTGTGTGTAAGAGTACTCTGTCTGCATGCATGCTTGCATGCCAAGAAGAAGGCATCAGATCCTATTATGGATGGTTGTGAGCCACCGTGCGGTTTCTGGGAATTGAACTCAGGACCTTCGGAAGAACAGCCAGTGTTCTTAAGTGCTAAGCCATCTCTCCAGACCCCCACCTTATATAAAATTTTTATAAGGTATAAAGTATACACATGCATACACTTATCAAATGTAATTTATGGGAATTGATTTTCTCTTTCCACCATATGGGTTCTGGATGGTAGCAAGCATCCTTACCCTCTGAACCATCTTGTTCCCGCTTAAAAGTCTCTTTGTACATTTTGGAAAACAATCTTTTATCACATGTAGAAAATGGATTGCTTCTTGTTCTTTTGGTAGTGTCTTACAGGATGGAAGTTTTAAATTTTATCGAAGTCCAGTTCACAAATCACTCATAAGTTTTGTCCTTGGTGTTCTATTTACAAAATAATCACAAATCATCCAGGTTTTCTCCAATGCTGTTTTCTAGGAGAGAAATAGTTCAGGTCTGATCCATTCTGAGTTAATGTTTGTGAAGAATGTAGGTCTGTGTGAAGATACAGTTATTCATATATGGAATCTAGCTGTTGCAGAAGCAGTGGAAGAGTTCTCTTTCTCCATTGTGCTGTCTTTGTTCCTTTCTCAACAACCAGACAAAGGCATTAGTGTGGGTCTATTTCTGGGCTCTCCATCCAGTTCCACTGAACCTGCTGATTCTTCTGTCACTGCTGTACTGTCCTGATAACTGCAGTTTGTTTATAAGTCTTGAAGTTGGATAATGGTAGTCTTTTCACTTTGTTCTTATCCTTCAATATGTGTTGACTATTTTTGCTCTTTGTGTCTCTATATAGCTGTTAGAATTACCTTATCAATATCTATAAAATAACCTGCTGAGAGTTTGATTGTGATTGCATTGAATCTGTTGATCAGCTTGGGGGAATTGTATGTGGGTATAATAAGAGTCTTCTTACTCTTGTATGTGCAAAAACCTTCCTTACACAGTCTTTTTCTTTCACCAAACAGTTTTAGTGTATTCTTACATAAATATTTCACATGCTTTTTTTTGAGACATACTTAAACATTAAAATTTTTGGATAATAATATAAATACTATTTGTTTTGAATTTAAAATTCCAGTTGTGTATTGATGGCATATAAGAATACAATTGACTTTCATATGTTAACTTTATATTCTGCAACCTCATTAGTTATAAGATCTTATATTTTTTGTTGTTCTTCTTGTTGATTGATTGTGTGTGTGTGCATACGTGTGTGCATGCGTGTGTGTATGTGTATGTGTGGTGTTGGAGCTTGAGTTCAAGTCATTATACATGCTAAACAAGCACTCTATATAAAACTACATCCTTATCTCTGTTGTAATGCTTTGGATATTGAATTTGTTAAAAAATAATTTTATGACCTTTTATTAGTATCCCTGAGTGTTTACAGTAACTTTGTAGTTCTAACAGTTGCAAGTATTCAGAGTGAATCTCAAGATAAGCATTTATGAGTAACAATTGGCTTTCTTGACACAAGGCTCTGAAACTTTTAGACTTTTATCAGAAACCATTTAGTCACAGAGACCACAAGTCGCTTGCGTTATCTTGCTTCCGTTGATATATGTATCATTTTTTTATCATGAGTTGAGGGCTAGAGATGGAAAGATAGTGGTTAGTGGTTTGGACTTAGTGGGGTCTTTTAATGAAAACTTAGAACAGAAAAAATGATAGAATAATGAATCCAAATAGCCAAGGGTAAAATTAGCCAAAAATTAGTAGCTGGGTTCTAGTAGTATAAGACTAATATAAAAAGTTAAAATCAATAAATTAACAACTATTTATGAACAAAGAGTAGGGGTTAAGTCTGCTAGGTAAGTATGGCTGGGATGGACATGCAAACTTCACTTTCTTTTTAAAAAATCTCAAAGGACAGAATGAATATTGAGGCTGAGCCACTGGTAGGTAGATGCAGATCATGGGGAAATTCAAGAGCAGGTTGTAGAAATTTAACATGGGATTTGTTGACCAAGACAAATATCAAAAGAATGAAGACAGTTTACAATGTGCGTGCATACGCGTGCGTGTGTGCATGTGTGTGTGCGCGCACACATTTGTGTGTGTGTGATATTATATGCATAAAATACGGAACACATATTTGGAGGAGAGAGCCACCAAAGAATCAAGATTGAATTTAGTGTTACTACAAGTCTTGAAGCAGGAGAGCAGAACCATTGGGAAGTCAGTCTGGGGAGAGAAAACTGCTTCAAACCCTTCATTGAAGGGGGTGGTGTGACATGGAGTCACTTTGGCAGGTCACTGACAGTGAAGTTAGTGGCTGAAAAAAAGAATGATTAGCCAGGATGGTGGTGAACTCTCCTGGTGAGGGAGGGAGCAGGGGAGGGAAGAAGAGCATCCACAGGAGGAGTAAGCAGAGGGAAGCAGCTCTCCCCCATCATCACTCTCTCTGAACTCTTTCTCCCAGAGAATGTATTGCCATGACTGATTAGGGGATACAAAGTCTCAAGAAATACTAAAAATTCAAAACACTCATACCAAAAGGCAACTTTCATGCCCACGTTTTTCTTCAAGCCATAGCTCTTTTCTTTCCTCCCCTCAATAATAAAACTTGTCAAAAGATGTTTATATTGGCAGCCTCTGTTTCTTTGCAGGCTGTCTTGAGCCCACTGCAGTAGGACTCTAAACCTCATTATCCTGTTCACCAAAACCACTCTTCCACCTGAGGCAGTGGCCATCCCTGCTGGGCTCTTTTGGGTTGCCTGCTATGTGTGTCTGTTCAAAATGGACATTCAGGCCTCCTGCCTTATAACCACTTAGTTCTGGCCCTTTGGCTGGTCCCCGGTTCTCTTCTATCGCTCTATGCTCTAAATATTGGTGTGCCCAGGGATCACTTCTTGCTTATCTTTGTCCTACCATAATTTATTGCATCATTGCGTGTTTACACCTATGGCTGTAGGTGTTACATTGTAATCTACATGTTCCCAGGTTACCGTATTTCTCATATATTTCACATGACATCTACTGAAAACCCTGACATTGTTAAAACTTTTTTTTTGTTTGTTTTTCGAGACAGGATTTCTCTGTATTGTTTTGGAGGCTGTCCTGGAACTGACTCTGTAGACCAGGTTGGCCTCGAACTCACAGAGATCCACCTTCCTCTGCCTCCCGAATGGAAACTTTTTATAAATATATAAAATGAAATTTTGGGCTGAGAAGATGACTTAGTAGATGAAACGCTTTGTCCTGCAAACAAGCTTGTTTCACAAGTCAATCCCAATTCCCTCTTCTTCCCCTCCTCCCCTGCTCCCCACCAATCCCCTATCCCATCCCTTTTCTGTTCCCCATGGAGGGTGAGGCCTTCCATGGGGGATCTTCAAAGTCTGTCATATCATTTGGAGCAGAGTATCCCTCTATGTGAAGTGAGCTCCCAAAGTCCATTCATGTACTAGGGATAAATACTGATCCACTACCAGAGGCCCCATAGATTAACCAGACCTCCAAACTGACACCCATGTTCAGGGGGTCTGGAACGGTCCTATGCTGGTTTCCCAGCTATCAGTTTGGGGTCCATGAGCTCCCCTTGTTCAGGTCAGCTGTTTCTGTAGGTTTCTCCAGCTTGGTGATTATCCCTTTTTATCACACCAGAGTTCAGCTCAGTGTTTAGCTGTGGGTGTCTGCTTCTGCTTCCATCAGTCACTGGATGAAGTCTCTAAGATGGCATATAAGGTAGTCATCAATCTCATTATCAGAGAAGGGCATTTAAGGTAGCCTCTCCACTATTGCTTAGATTGCTACTTGAGGTCAATCTTGTAGATCTCTGGACATTTCCCTAGTGCCAGATTTCCCTTTAAACCTATAATGGCTCCCTCTATTAAGATATCTCTTTTCTTGCTCTCCTCTGTTCTTCCCCTAACTCTATCTTCTGCTTTGTAGTTTCTATTTTATCCATTTTAATACTTAGGCATTTATCCTTCCTTTATTTGACACTTCTTATATCTAGATAATCTTGGGTCTTCTTTTATTGATTGTGTTTTCTCTTTATGGATGTCCAGCAATTGAATCATATGCTAGATTTTTATACAGTCATGCTCATTTGGGTTTGTTTTCTTATAGACCTCAATATCCTGGATTGGAATTCTCAAAATCTTGTTGCTATCACCCACAGATCCTCCATACACATCTCATCTGGAATGGTCAAAACCACAGCAGGAATGAAAATATAGACTTAAGCCTCTTCTCTATTTATGCATCGTCTGTGCCCTGGGTCAGAGGGAGGGATCGTGCCTGGCTGTTGGCATCAGCGATGGAGAAGCGCAAGTCCTGGGACATCTCCTCACCATGTTCCTGTGCAGCAACTTCTAGAGCGTATTAATGTAGAGAAACTAGATTAAGGGAGGTACCTGGAGCTACAGGAAGCAAGGGGACACAGAACTGTTTTCTTCTGAATGGCATTTCTTGAAGACTTCAGGGTAACTGGCTTCATTTCCCTCACAATCTTTCTGTCATCTTGGTAACTCTTAATTTTCTTCTACTCCAGTAGGTGTTCAGATCTTCTGATATGTGTTCTAGAGGGCACACATATGTGGTGACCATGCCTTCAGCATGAAGCTCAATATATTATTCAGATAATTTGAGAAACTCCCTTCAAGCCAAAAGTTTCTTTGTATCCATTATTACCTTCAAAAGGGACTTTTTTTTTCAGAAACCAGTGCTTATTGGTATATATGGAATATGTTAAACTTTTTGGGGCTTCCTAACTTACAGACTTATGACATTAGAGTTGGGAGGTACCACACTCAGACTTGAGTGTTCACTAGACACCCCTGCAGGACTCAGAAACATAGATCTCTGTCCCCTCCTGCATTTCCTCATATTAGGGCATGGGGGGATATAATTTATGCTTCAAACTTCCCCAGTGAGGCTAACAATTCAGGGCACCAAGAGTACAGATGTGATTTAACAGCTTTTTTTAAACCAGAGAAGCTGCCTAAATTTTTCCTATGATGCTATATAATTGGTCTCAATATGTATTGGTTTTAGTACTAGCCTCCATCCCTGTGTATTTCTTGAGGTAGATTTAAATCAGTAAGGTTCCAAAGCTTCTTACAGACCAGCTAAGTAGCTGGGAAGCAGATTGGAAAATTTATAACTTTTGATTTTTCAGGCCAAACTTCAAATCCCTTGGTTGGTGTTGTCAGGTCAGTTCTGTGCAAATGCTGTTTTTGCAGCTGGCATCAGTAAGGATTGACTTTGATATCCACAGGAACACCAGCATGTTTCATAGCAACTGCTTTGGGCTGCTTTGACCAGGCTCTGTGCCAGGATCTGTGCTCTATACTTGATGGGCAAAATCTTGTTTTAATTTCCATAATAGTGGATTCTTATCTCAATGTTCTTTTCAGATGAACAAACTGAGGCACTAGAAGGAAGTCACGTGATTAACAAGTGACGGAGTCATGATTTAAACCCAGGCAGCCTGGCCCCAGAGCCCATATTGTCGGTTAAGGTGTTATTTAGGGTTGTGCCTGAATACTTAAAAAGTAAGACATCAGATGTTGAGAAATTGCACCCACAGTTGAAGAAGTTCATTTCCTGACTCCTTACAGAACACCAGACCAGCCCTGAGATCACAGTCTGTGGGAAGATGTAGGATCTGCTCTATGGCTCTGAAACACACTTCATTTTTCTGAGCTATTCAGCTAGTGCTGAGTCCTTTTTTATGTATTAGTAGCACTGAGAACACTAAGAATTGACGTGAAGCTTAACACAGGGACACACCTGTCAGAAAAGGCAAATAAAAATCCTGCTTAATGTGTTATAGCAAATTAAGTTAGTAGTAAAACCATGCTGCTGAACTAATATGAAATCTCAAAAAAGAGAAATATCATTTCCTAGATATTATATGTAAGTTTCCTGGGGGGAATCTTGTAATTGTCTAATTTTGTCTTTTCCATGACTATTAGCGTAATGTTAAAGCTGTTAGGAGCATCTATTTTGTTTTCAAATTTAAAATCTTGATAGACAAATCCATTTTACTTTTTTTTTCTTTTAAAGACAGGGCCTCACTATATAGTCCTGACTGGCCTCAAACTTTCAAAGCAGCCTGTCCCTGCCTCCCCAGTGCTGGGATTAGCTGTATGTGCCACCATACCTGTTTGAACCTAGGTTACTCGTGGAAAGATCCCACCTTTCTAACCAAAGGGATTTTTATCTGTGTTTGGAACTGTCCTAATGGGTCTTTCCATAGTTTCACTAATTAATTAATTAGCTAATTAATTAATTAATTAACTTTGAGATAGGGTTTCTCTGTGTATCATTCCTGGCTATCTTGGAATTCACTTTGTTCACCAGACTGGCCTTGAACTCACAGAGATTCACCTGCTTCTGCCTCCCGAGTGCTGGGATTAAAGGCATGTGCTACCACTGCCTGGTTCAGTTTTATTTCGAACTGAAGTTTCCTCTATGCTTTCTTATGCTTTTGAGATAGGGAGGCTTTTTCCCCTCCCTTTGACACATGAACCTGCCTCTTCACCTCTAATTCAGCAGGTCCAGATTGGGTGTTGTTCACCATTATGATGTTTGGATGGCCCAGCATTATGTTGAAACACTTCACCAAAAGGAGGCTGTGTGTGCTCTGAAATGGTCACGCGATGGCAGACTACTTCCCGGTGGGTGTAAGGACGGACTACTGGCAATATTGGCTCCACGATCCAGGGGCCAGTGTGTAGGGCCCAGCACTGAAAGTCATACCTCAGTTTACAGCAGTTAAGGTAAAAGATCCAGTAGCCACTAGGTTTGCTTTTGTCAGAGATCGCTGGGCATCTCAGATAAAACAGAAAAACAGCCAGGCCTGGTGGTACAGACCTGTAACACCACTCATTTGGGAGACTGAGACAGGAGGATTGAAAATTCAAGTCCAGGCCATAGAGTGGATTCAAGGTCAACAGGGGCACCTTAGTGAGACCCTGTCTCAAAACAAAAAGTAAAAAGAGGGACAGGGCTATAGCTTCATGGCGGCATATTTGTCTAATATATGCAATGCCCCAGGTTCACACACACACACACACACACACACACACACACACACACACACACACGGACACGGACAAAACACAAAGTGAGGGATCCCCTTATGATGGAGGGAGCAGGCAAAGTTGCAGAGGTCACATGGGGTTTAGAGCATTTGCTGCTCTTCCAAAGGACCTGGGTTCAGATTCCAGCACCCATGGGGTGTCTCAGAATCATCTGTAAGTCTCCTTCCCAAGTACCCAAGTACCCAGTGCTTTCCTCTGACCCCCACAGGTACCAGACACATGTATTACACATGCAGGCATGACACTCATGCACATAAAATAAATACATTCTAAAAAATAAAGAAATGAACCGGGCAGTGGTGGTGCACGCCTTTAATCTCAGCACTCAGGAGGCAGAGGCAGGCGGATCTCTGTGAGTTCCAGACCAGCCTGGTCTACAGAGTGAGCTCCAGGACAGCCAGGGCTGCACAGAGAAACCCTGTATTGAAAGACCAAAATCCAAACCAAAACAAAACAAAAATTTATAATTGTTTGGAAAGCTGTTATGTCCACAGTTCTGAAATTTGGAATTTATCTGAATTTTTTTTGTCAGAAACAAAACATACATTTTTTTCATATGAGAGCAAACACTAAATGAAACACAAAACAAAGAAAACAATCCACATCTCTTTAAAAATGTCAACTAACTCTGTACAATCCAAACCAAGACAAAACAAAAGGGGTAAATCCAGCACCAGGGCAGCAAAGCCTGATGGAATATAAAGAGATTAGTGAAAACGCTACCTAGGGGCCTGGGGAGATGCTGCAGTTAAGGGCACCTGCTACTGCAAGGGACCTCCAGCACAGCCCACAACTCCTGCAATTTCAGTCCCAGCCTCCCCAGGTACCCGCACACATGTGTGCGCAAACATACACACGCACACGCACGTAGATAAAAGTAAAAAACATTAAAAAATGAGGATGATGTAAAGTGCGTTGAAACATGAGAAGATTTTATATAATAATAACAGGAGAACAAATCCATATGAACCCAATGTTTGTTACTCTGTAAAATGTTTTGACTCACAGAAGATAATATGCAAAAGTGAGGTTGATGGACAAGATTTGGAGATGAGTGCGACAGAAATAGTTGTTAAAACACTCTTTGAAGTTACTAGCCATTCCAGTTATCAGTACAGATATGAGATATTGATTCTGATCTTCAGTTGATGATAGAGTTATTTGCACATATTGATCTTCTGAAGTGTATTAGGATTTGAGACACCTGCGATCTGAATTTACAGGTAGTCACTTGCAGCTTTCTTTAACGTACTGTTATCTGGAGGACAAGGACTCAGGTCATAAAACGAGGCTGCATTTCAGCACAGAACCCAGAAGAGCCAGGGCCTTCTCCAGCCGCAGAGTTCAGCCCCATGGGTGTGTTGGTGCAGTTTTTCCATTATATGATTTTGCAGGTTTATTTATTTTTTGTTTGTTTCTGTGTTAAAAAATACTGACTGACAATTGTTTGCCTAATTTAGGGAAGTCTTCTACTGGCCATTTTCTCTTTTAGCAGTGGCTTCTCATCCGTGGGGAATAATTTCTGAGGGTTGTACCTGCCCTCAGCTAGGAGGCCGCTACAGCTGCTGACTTCCTTGTACATCTCCCTGGCGAGCTTGCTTTCTCCAGGTTCACCTGCCTGCGTTCTCCTTAGGAACTTTATGGGTCATGGAGTGGTGTCCCCAGCAATCTGAGGTCTTTGTCCTTGGAAGAGGAATGAAGGATGGACACCTACGTGTTTTGCTTATAAATACTGGGAAGAGTGTTCAGACTCCGCGTGCACACACTCATAGGCAAGCTTTGTCTTAAATTCCCTGGTTCATTGTACTAGAGCCCATTTGTTTTCTTGGTCCTTGGATGACTTGGGATGGATATAATTTTTAAAAATACCCAATCCTCACTGTGGTTGGAGGAAGAGTGAACAGAACATAACACAAAGTCTAGAATCAGTTTAGGCTCATTTGCCACGCATTAGAAGTTGCTAGCATTCGGTATTTTGTGGTCCTCATAGGTTTGTTCTCTCATCTGAGTGCCTAAGACAAAGTAGATTGCAACAGGTCAAGGTGCTTCCAAGAATGATATGGCCTTGTGGACCTGCTCATGTCGCGGAGGGGGAGGGATATTTAAAAAATGAAAGAAAGTTGGGAAGGTGAGAGGGGATCTGGGAGGAGTTAGTGGAGGGGTGAATGTAACCAAAACACACTGTATACATTCTCAAAAATTAGTTTGTTACATTAAAAACTTTCTAGTTTTCAGATGAGACATGGCTTTTTTTGGTTCATAGCAAAGATCAGTATGTAGTGTCATTGATGACACTTGCACGAAGAAAACAAACTTACAACACCCCCAGCAACAGTATTCTTAGAATTTGAAGCCGCAACCTCTGAGGTAAAGGTGCCATTTCCCTCTACCTAGTAAGTTAAAATTGGCACTGATGTGTTGGGAAAGGACTTCAAGAACACTGTTGCTTTCGTGTCAAGTGTCATGTTTCCAGAAGTATCTATTCAATTTAAATCAAGCTAGCTTTCAAACCTTGCTTTTGAAAATATCTGGGTTTTTCCATCTTTGCTATTCCATTCTTTTTTTCTTCGTTCCTTTTTATTTTTAACACATAGTGGGTAAAAAGACATTTTTAAGTGCTCATTGTATCTATTGATACAGGATAAAGACGTTATCCTGAGTGTGGATTTAAAAAAAGCATTATTTTAAGTTAGAATTGCACATTTAAAGATTCTTGTGCCTGGACTTTGTGGCAGAAATCAAGGGGAGTGTTTAACTTTGTGACAAGAGAGTTCTTTAAGTGACAACTTTCTGTAAGAACAAACGCGGCAGCCATTTAATGTTTCTTTTTATGAGAATTTTCTGACCAGGAGATGAAGAAGGATAGTAGCAAAAATGCTTGAAGAAGTGTGAGAACGAGGCTATTTTATTTCATTTTTTAAATAGCAAATCACTTAAAAAGCTTGAATTTTGAGTGTCTGTGGGTGTGTGCACTTGTGAGTGAAGGCGCCCTGGGGGTGGGGTAGAGGCAGTGGTTGCTCCTGGAGCTGGAGTAACAGGTGTTTGTAAACTACCCAACAGGGAGTGCTCGGCGGTATAGGACTAGTGCATAGATTTAACTGCTGAACCATCTATCTATCTAGCCCAGAGAGAGGGGCCATTTTACTTTGCTTCTTTACCTTAAAGTGACCTTTTAAAATTAAATTGTGAGTTGATTATGTGTTCAGATTTCTTCTTTTTGCTGAAGATCTTGTACCATAGGACAAGATGATGTCTCAGTTTACTTGTGAGAAATCTTGCTTCTGGCCTTTAATCCCAGCACTTGGGAGGCAGAGGCAGGCAGATCTCTGTGAGTTCAAGACCAGCCTGGTCTACAAGTGCTAGTTCTAGGACAGCCTCCAAAGCCACAGAGAAACCCTGTCTCGAAAAACCGAGGGAAAAAAACCCCAAAACAAAAAAACCCAAACCAACCAACCAAACAAACAAACGAACAAAGAAATCTCACTTCTGTGAAAGGTGTCCTCCTCCCAAGTTTGATTTCAGTTATATCATCAAATACCTCCCCACTCAATTCTTATCTTGCCTTGTTATCTTTCATATCCTCTTATCCCTAGCCTCTTCATCAAATTACCTTTATTTATTTTTGGCTCAACATTTTGATTATAAAGGTCACTATTGGGTTAGGCTAGGTTTTTCAAAGTGTTTTCCAGGTCATGCCAAAGTCAAAAGGACTGTGCAGTCAGGTAAGCTTGAGAAATGCTACCCACTATAGCCTCATCCTCCAAACAGCTCCAGTGCATACAACAACTCTAAAATAAGATGAGTTCTGAAGTAAAGAGTTGACTTTAATATTAACTCAGAGTTCCCCAGCTAATGTGACCGTTGAATGCTGTTTTCATTTTTAATATCTATTAACCTTGTGTAAAGTAATTATAACTGAGAGTGTTCTTTGGGAATAATGTATAAACGAGCAGAAGGGAAGCCACATGAGATTTGTCCTTTATTTTATTCATAAATACACTTCACAAATTGTATTCTAAAAAAAAAAAAGGGAAGCCACAATCTCCAGAATCCGGTGAACAAGTCTCGTATTTGCATTATGGAAGAGTTTTTGGACCCTTTAGCCTTAAACTGCATCAGTTTATGTGATCCATCTCTTGGAACCCATCCCAAAGGGTTGGCCTTGGGCGAGTACTGCAATGGCATTTCCTGGCTATCTGAGAGTGCAGAAGATAAAGCTAATGACAGTGGAGCAAGCGTGGTGGTGTAGGCTGAGGCATAGTTTCCTCTAAGATACTGGTGTGAAATCTCTGTAGGCTGTGGATGTGACAAAGGGTTTGTCCTGATGTGATGAGTTTCAGGTTCTTGGGGGGAGCTGGCCTGGGTTATGCCAGCAGGTCTACATCCAATGTCAAGTGTCCTGTGACTTGTAAGAAAACCAGAGACCAGACACAGAGGAATCAGTGTGCTCACAGAAGCAGGCTGGATGGTGTGGGCATAAATCGAAGAATGGCTTCAGCTGTCAGGAACCAGAAGTGGCAAGGCTGAGAATCTTAGGGTATGCCATCCCACCCATTCCTAGACTTCACACTTCACCTTAAACTGTGGGAGAGTCAGTTTCTGGCACATAACCATCCAACTTGTGAGCATCCGGCTCATCTAGAGGATTTCAGTCAGTCATAAAATAAATGTTCTGGCTTCAAAAAATGGAATTCAGTAGAGATTAGTCTATTTATTTTAATTAAAATCCTAAATCCATATTAAAGACTATGACATGTCAAAAATATCAGCCCAGAATTTCTCTAATAGAAACTTCATTTTGTAGAGCAGGGAGTCTGATTCTTGGGTGTTATCAACCATATTAGGGTACTAAAGTGAGGAATCCCATGTTCTGGGTTCCACTATATTAACTAACTCTGTAGGTGTGTCCTGGGCAGTGGTGATTGTACATAGGTCTGTGAGTCCTGTGGGCAACCGTTTCTGAAGCCTGTGACTAGTGTTAATCAGTCTGATTTTTCCTTCTTTGTTGGCTTCAAGAGTTGACTCTTAGTGTATGTTTTTGGATTGGACAGGAATTGTTTATGCTTGTCTATATACATACATGCATAATTATATATACACATATAAATATTTCTAATGGAAATTGGTGGAATTTGCTCCCATGATCCCATCTCAAAATGGCCATTGGGATGATGGCTGTCCACTAAATTAAAAGTGTTGAGCAAACGAGGCATTTTTTTTCAAGAAAATGTTTTGATCACAATTTATTACTCTGTCCCTATGAAGGCATGACAATCACTGTGACCATCATGTTGGTGACATCAACCCAGACTCACAGACAAGGGGAACCAAGATCACCTAGACAATCCAAGGCTAAAATGAAAACTACCAAGGAACGGGCTGACTTTCTGTAGCATCCTTTTCTTGGCTGGTCAGGCACTTCATTTATATCACCTAGACCTCAAACTCCTGTTCTACTTCAGCCTTTGATGTTATGTTTCATCTTAGTCTGAAGGCCAAGAGGCAATGCACAGCTGCTTAGGGCAACTACCCTTGAGTCATTTCTGGTAAAATCTGTCCCTTCAGTTCTTGCATATAAATAAGAATAGTGGTATGGAGGTGTAACAGTGGGAGCTAGTTTTTTTTTTCCTGTTCACTCCTACACTCCAGAGCAGTTCAGAATGCCTGAGTCCTTCAGTATGCTTGCTGTCAGACAGCTCTGCTGAGGGTGAAGTGCGTTCTTCAGGGAGAAATTCCCCTGTCCTGGGACACATGGAGGACACTCGTGGCCCTGGTTTTCTAATCTCCCTCCTGCATTATCTATGCCATTGCCTTCTGACTCTTCATTTTGCTCATGGAGATTGGCCCAAGAACATTACAAGAGAGAAGCATGTGTGGTCATTCAATTGATTTTATTTGGGATTAGATGTAGAAGCAACAGCAGGTAAAATGAAATTCACACATCTAAAATGTGCCCTTCATGGTTTCAATTATCCACTTGAGATGCTTCTTTGAGAGAGAAGTATAGACGCCAGGCCCTCGGGGATCTCCACACTTCTCATTCATTCCGAAAGCTGTGATGCCTCGGAAAACACCATCACATACCAGAGGGCCTCCAGAATCTCCCTGGTGAAAGAAGAGGGGTGGGATGAGGTGAAATTAATATATGAAGAAGTTCTGTAGCATCTAGTGTGAAGATCAGCCCAGAATTCACTGAAAATTACTGCTTAAAACATCAAGATGCTTAGCAATATTTTAATATTTATAGATTAATGAAAACCAAAATGAAAGCTATATTATGTATTTCAGTCACTGATTTTAAGATTGGTTGCCTTTTTCTAGAAAGTCATCCCTCTTGATCATCTTTTCAATATGGAGTGAAACAGGCAAACACAGATGATAAATTTAGGAAAAGAGTAACTGTGGTGTTTTTTGGTTTCTCTTGCAGATAACTATATGCCCAAAGAAAGAAAATCGAAGTCCCCCTTCCAGGGAAAAGTTGGTTTTGTATCCGTATGAAGTAATGGATCATGCAAGAACTTGTGGCCATCCTTGCTAAGGTACATTCCCTCCTTGGGAATGTGCAAATTCAGCCCATAGGCTGGATTCCTCAGCAGCCAGCCTAGGGCACTGAAAGAACATGGAACATGGAAATAACTCTGAACCTCCAAGGGTACAGGGCCTGGTGCTGGGGAGGGACATCCCGGGATGCTGCTGTGGCCCAGGGTGTTGCATATGATCCCCTAAGAGGGAAAGTCAGGTTCCTGGGTGCCTTAGGTGGAGGATGTGGGAGGCAATGAGTCGGGGAGGGTCAAGTAAAAAGAAGAAAGATAAGGACAGAAGCCATTTCTTCTTGGTATTTAGCCAGCATTGGTCCTGGAGACAAGGCATAGTTCCTCTGACTTCTTCCCTAATGATAGATAGACCCACTGCCCTAACCTCTGGAGATTCTGTGGAGTCTTGGGGAAAGGCAAGAACTAACAAGCTGGAACTGAGGATTTAAAAATTTGCAAAGTATTCTTTTTAATTCTTGTCTTTAATCAGGCCCTTTACTCATGTTTTTGGGGACACTGGGAGGGAGGCTTATACATTCTCAGGTGAGAGGGTTATGACTCAAATGGTTTACTCTGCTCA